GGTTGGTTGGTTTGGCTCTTTGAGCCAGTTTCCCCATCTGTAAACCAGGCATTGACTTCCTAGAACTCTCAATCGAATTAGAAGAGGTTATATCTAGGAAAGGGGACCCTCCACCCCTCCCCCCTTTATGACCCCAGGGAAGGTTCTACAGCCCCCAAACACTGCCTCTGTGCGGGGGGGGGGGGACCCCATGGTCAGAGGAGGGAGCAGCTGTTTGGTGGATACCCACTTTGTGCCAGATGCTGAACATGTGTATTCTTATTTAATCTTCAAAACAACACTAAGAAGCAAATAGTATCCCCTTCTCCCTATTCTTTTTTACAGATGGGAAACAGACCCAGAGAGGAGGGTCTTCTCTCCTGCTGTCTGGGTGGGTGGGGCCCAGGGATGAAGGTTAGGAAAGGGCCTGGGGGTGGGGGAGACACAGGCCAGTATCCAGCCACTTGTGGGCAGGCACTGTGTGGGGCACAGGGCTCCAGGAGTGAGCAAGACAGACAGGGGTGGGGACAGACAAGAAGCAGACTCAGTTTCCAAACACCGACCTCAGTTTGGCTGTGCGCAGTGCTGCTCAGGAAGGGCTCAATGTGCAATGGATGGGTGGAGGAGGGGCTGACCTGGTCTGGGGGCAGAGAAGGTCTGAAGGATGAGTAGGAGCCAAAGGGATGATCAACGGAGGCCAGAGCCCAAAAGATTTGAGGGTGGAAACAAGTTGGGCTACCCAGGAAGGGAGAGTGTGAGAAGGGCAGAGGCCAGTTTGTGGAGAAGAGAAGGGTTTTTAAACTCCATTTGAACGGCAATGGGGAGCCATTGAGGGTTTTAAGTAGGGAGTGAGTTCACAGTCAGTGTAGAAACGCTTGGTGCCCCTCTGCATAACCCATTGGCAGGAGAAGGTGGCTAATTGCACATCAAAAGAACAGGATCCAGGGACGTGGCGAATTCAAAGGAAGGGAGAGAGGAAGGGGCCTAGGGTGACCTCAGGCATAGTGGTCTTGAGGCGGGGGCAGAGGGGTTGGGGAAACGGGGGTGGGGGGCAGGAATGGGCTAGGATCACTGGGCCCAGGGAGACTTCCCGGGGGTGTATGGCTGACACTGAGGCTGAGCTTGTGGGCCCAGGCCAACACTGGGCAGGAGAGGGGCCAGGGAGGGGGCAAAGCTGGGAGGAGCAGGTAGGAAAAGCAAGTGGTAAACACCAGGGTAGATGGATTACCAAGGACAAGAACAGCCAGAAAGTCCAGGCTTCGGCCTCCAGAATTGGTGTCCCCAGGAAGAGCAGTGACCGAGGGAGCAGAAGGAAGGAATCTGTGAGGGCGGAGGCCAGGGCGCGTGGGTCAGTGCGCGCGGGTGGATGGGTACAGCGTCGATTGGGGGGTCTTGAGCGAAGGACATGGTGAGAGCCAGAAGGCGGGAGGAGGCAGGGGGACGGCTTCTGCCACAGTGGGACGCGGACAACAGCCGCACAGAGCGGAGGGCGTTATCTTCCCAGCTCAGGCCGCTGGACCCCTCGGTCCCACGTGGGCTGCAGGAAGACGACCGCGGTCTCGCTCTCGGACCGCAGGGGTTCAGCCCCGGGGGCCGAGGCTCAGCCTCGCCCACTGTGGGCTCCTCTGGACGCCGGAATCCTCAAGGTCCGTCACTCGAGGAGGCTCCGCTCCCAGGGGCGGCCGCGGTTGCTCCGAGGATGCCTGGTCCCCGGGGCTGGGAGAGGGGCTCCGGGGCGCCGATGCCATCCCCAGTCCCTTCGACCAAGCTAGAGGCTAGGAGCCTGTGTTCGAGGCCCAGCTCTGCCCTGTGACTTCGGGACCCCGCTCCGCCACGCGTTGGGAGGTGGGGTGGCCCAGGCCCACGACTTCCTCCAGTTCCCCCTCCCCGCCCCGGGCGCACAGCCGGGTCTCATTACCGCCCATCCCCCTTCCCTCGCGCCCCGCGTGCCGGGGGGTCTCCGCTGCCGGGGGAGGGGCGTGTTCTAATCAATCCCAGGCCGGAAATTCCTCCCGAGGGGCCCGGCAGGGCTGCGGGAGTGAGGTGGGGGCCAGGAGCGGAGGCTGGCAATTCTCCTGCACTCCCCTCCTCTGAGCCCGCCCCCCGCATCATGGAAACTGGGCCGCCGGCCGACCCCCGCGCTCCGTTCCACATTCTTGCCTCTGGGGGCGGGCGGGGCACAAAAGCCAGGCCGCCCCCTTCAGGCTGGTCTTCGGGGGGTCGGCGGCCTTCACTGCCTTCCTCCTGCTTTGGGGCAAGCACCCTCCCCCCCGGTTGGACGCATCTTTGGGGGGCAGTTAGAGCAGGCCCGCGACACCCTATTTGATTCCCTCAGCTCTAGGGGCCAGGCCGTCCCTGTTACCGCCCCACCCCCTCCCCGCCGTGGTTACTAGTCACTGAGCGCTCGCATGGGTATCAGGGGTGCGTCCCGTGTTGTTTCGCTCTTCAGCATCTTGCGAAGCAGGCACCATATGCCCATTTTACAGATGAGGACAGTGAGGTTCATATAGACTAGGGGAAAGGCCGGCGGAGCAGGAACTCGGGCTGCCTCCTCCGGGCATCAGTGGGCCCTCAGACGCCCTCGCAGTCCTCTCCCGGGCGCCTGGACTCGGGGGGGGGGGGGCGGGCTTCGCACGCTCAGACTGCAGAGCTGGGTAGGGGGCTCTCAGGCTCTGGTCTCAGTTTCCCCATGTGGGAACAGGGCACCCTCCCAGGTCTTTGCGAACGACGTGAGCGGGAAACTCGGCCCGGTCCTCCGAGTCACCAGGCGCGCACACAGCGCTTACATGCGACCCTCAGCTTTGAGTTGTTGCTTTCTTCCAGCGGCGGGGCACGGGCGAGACTGTCCCCCGGGATCCCGGAGGGCGGGGCCGGGCCGGCGCGGGGCGGGACGGGGGCGGGACCGGGGGCCCAGATTCCGTGGAGACCGCGGCAGTGCCGCGAGCCCCGGCTAGCGGACTCGGACCGAGACCCACCCGGGCGCTGCGGCGCCAGGTGAGCAAAACTAGGGTCCCGGGGTTTGTCCCCCACTTTCCCTAACTTTTTGTTTGGCTCCTCCCTCCGGAAAGGCCCCGGTGTGGGGGTGGCGGGAGACGGGTCCTCTCTTTCTCCCCTGCCGAAGTGTGGACTGGACGCAGGCGGGGGCGGGACTTCGGAGTGTTCAGGACCTGGTCCCGAGCAACCTGGCACCTTCGGACTGTGTCTCCAAGTTTTGTCCTCTCTGAGCTCCCCAGCGGCGACTCACGCCCTCCAGAGCCTCGGGGTACCGGAGCATATCCCCATCTCTCTGCACACCCCCGACTGCCTCCCCGCAGGGACGTGCGGGGGCTCAGGGGTGACCTTTCCTGAGTTGGGACTGGGGCGCCAGCTCTGACCTGGGGCGGGATGGTCCTTCTCCAGCTTGGGGCTAGAGAGAAGGCCACGTACTCAGACACAGGTGGGTAACGGGCCTCGCCTCCTGCCAGGACGCTCCGGTGGCTGTGCCGGGAAGTGCCCAGCGCTGAGCTAGCTCCGGAGGCCTGGCGTCAGGTCCTGGTGGAACCCCCCCTTGTATGGCGGTGTGACCCCGGCAGGCTTCTCTCTCAGCCGCAGTTACCATCTGTGAAAAGCAGGCTGTGGACCCGGTAGATGCTGCTTACTCCATGCTAGGCCCTGGACTTTCAGCTCTCCTTTTGGGGACAGGAATGGGTGTCCTGTTTTGAGTTTCCGGGGTGCGGATGGGGAGTGGGTAGGGTAAGCAAGGCCTCCTGCCTGGGACCTTGGGGCGGGTTCCAGCGCTGGAGCTGTTTGGAAACCAGATTGGAGATGTGAAGACGCACCACTGGATCGCGAGGTCCTAACCCTCCTCTCCTGCTGTCCAGGGCACCCTGGGCGGGGGTCCCATTTCTTCCCACACCCTCCCTTCAGTGGGGGTCACACCACACGCAGCCCGGTTACTCCTGCCCCAGCCCGGATCCAGTCCACAGGCCGCAGGCTGGGCCAGACCAGCAGCCGGGAGGGGCTTCAGCCTGGCGGCCCGGACCCTGGGGCGGCCGGAGATGCAGGGGCGGTGCTGCACCGATCGGACCACGGGCCACTGAGGCCTGGGGCGGAGGAGGCTGGAAAGGAGGCCAGGCGGCGGGAAAGGGGGGATGATTCATCCCGAGGAGCCCGAATTGGAAACGCTGCAACCTGGAAACAGCCTTGTCCCGGCCGAGGGAAGAGCCAGGAAAGGAGTCCATGGGACAAGGCCCTGCGCCCCGCCCTGCAGCCCCTTGCCTCCTGCCCGCCACACCCTGGCTGCTGGGGGAGGGGGCGGCCTCCTCTGCGCGGAGTTTAAAGAAATAGTGGGCAAAGTCTACCCCTGGTCGTGGTTAGAGCGGTCTTCCCAGAGTCTTGCTAAAGTCTCTCCTGCTGCAGCTTCAATGCTGATTGAGGAGGTCTGGAAGGAGGAGGGGGCAGGCAGGAAGAGGCTGGAATCAGTGACACCCCCTCCTTCCCTCGCTGCGGTATGTAAAGCGCAGTAGGGGGAAGTGGGGCCCGCGAGCGATTGCAGCGGACCGGGGCGGTCTGCGCTCCCCCCCCCCCTTTTACTACGGTGCAGCCACGTGCTAGGGTGAGGTCGCGCCTGGGTGGGACTTACCCTAGGGACACTGCTGCCAGGGTCCCCACACCTCCCAAGGCCCAGGACTCGCGGGCTGGCGAAGAGGGCGTCGGCGGCCGGAGCCCCACAGCCGAGGATGCGCCAGGGAACAGCCGGCGCCCCCCTCCTTCCTCTCCGCCCGCAGGCCCGGCCAACTCGGGCTTCTGCCGCGCGGCCCTGGCTCCGAGCACCGCTGCGGAAAACTGGAGTGGGGGCGGCTCCCCGCCTGGCAGCCCGGGAAAATCTGGGGGTGGCCGCCAGGGATCTCCAAGCGTCCTGGGCGAGGCAGCCCGATCTTTCCTCCCGGATTTGTGTCCCCAACCTGACGCTCCGACCCTAGGCCCGTCGGTTCAGCCCCTGCCTCCTGCTTCTCTCTGCAGAGCGCCCAGACGACAGCGAGATGACGGCTGGGAGTCCCGGAGACTGCGTGGAGGTTCGGAGGAGCCCCGAGGGCCGGGTCTCTCGCCTGGGCCGCCGCCTGGGCCGCCGCCGGCGCCCGCGCTCCCCTCCCGAGCCTCTGCGGGTGCGGGCGCGGCTGCGGCTGCGCTCGCCGTCGGGGGCGTTCGCGGCGCTGGGGGCGCTCGTGGTATTGGTGGGCATGGGCATCGCAGTGGCTGGCTACTGGCCGCACCGCGCGGGGGCCTCAGGGCCCCGGGCTGCCAATGCCAGCGCGCCCCCAGTGAGCGAGCTGCGGCGCGAGGGTCGCGGTGCCGGCCGGGCTCACGGCCCGCACGAGAGGATGCGGCTCCTTGGGCCCGTGGTCATGGGCGTCGGCCTGTTCGTGTTCATCTGCGCCAACACGCTGCTCTATGAGAACCGAGACTTGGAGACGAGAAGGCTTCGCCAGGGGGTGCTGCGGGCTCAGGCGCTCCGGCCCCCCGACGGCCCCAGCTGGGACTGCGCTCTCCTCCCCAGCCCCGGCCCCAGGACTCCCCGAGCCATAGGCTGTGTGGAACCAGAAGGTTGGGACTTGTCTCTGCACCGGGGTACTTCACCCGTCCCGTCAGTGCGGAGTCTGCGTTCAGAACCTGCTAATCCTCGTTTAGGGTTACCTGCCCTGCTCAACAGTTACCCGCTGAAGGGCCCGGGGCTGCCCCCACCTTGGGGTCCACGGACTCAGACTGGCCACGTGATTATCACTGTGCAGCCCTCTGGTTCCTGCATTGAACACTCCAAGTCTCTGGATCTGGGCCTTGGAGAGCTCCTGCTTGGGGCACCAGCACCTCGGGACTGTGCTCACCGAAGCTGGCCACGGCTGGACCGCCTCAGTCTGGAGGGTTATGCCAAGTTGGGGGGAGGAGGGGACTTGGGGGCTCAGGTTTGAGCTGGGTACAGCCCGTTGAGGCTGCAGCATGGACAATGGTAACAGGACCAGGAGTCCCAATGCCTAGTAGATGCTTCGGTCACATCCCAGACTGGGGAATGGATGCTCTGGCCCTAGCAGCTGCTAAGGCATCCTGACTTGCATGTCAGCAGAGAAATGCCAACTGCACAAGGGTTCAATAAGCTGGAATGTGTTTTAATGTGGATTCTGGAGACCAGCATGACTCGGCCTCAGGAATTCCGTCAGCCTCCAAAGTGGCCTTACCCCTGAACAGGTACCTGAGGAGGCTGGAGGTCCAGGCCAGGGTGATGGGGAGATGTCAAACTGGTGTCTTGACAAACGTAAGTGGTGGGCAAGTACCCCTAAGACTTGGAAGGTAGGTTGAGATGTTACAGATTGGGATAGGCTCCCTTTAAGGTGGCACTGGTAATGGGGTTTGGGCCTCCAGGAAGATGGGCAATGGGGTACAGTTGAGACCTTTCACTGCCACCTGGGATGGGGACTGAGCCTTTAACTCCCACCACCTCAATCCCCTTCTTCCCTCAGCCATGCAGGGTATATCCTATTAGGGCTACACTACTGCCAATGCCTTCATGCCGAGGGTCTGGCCCCTCCCCAAACAGGTCTGAGAAGCCCCCTTCTCTCCTTTGTCCTGGTCTATGCTGCAAAATCTTCCTCCAGTTGGCAAAAAGCATTTGTCAGTTCTCAGAAATCCTTTTATACAATGTTGAAGCTGCATTTTGGCCAATGTGGGTAGCTTACTTTAGCAAAAGGGGAAGAGAACTTTAAAAGTTGATCAATCCTCAGATTCAGTCTTTTTTTTTTTTTTTTTTAAGTTTATTGAAAAATGCAGTACAAGAAGCAAGACCAAACACCTATCTAAACAACTACAGCCACTTCTCTTACTACAAAGGCCAAAACAGCAGACCTAATTATTGCCTATTTAAGCTAAGGATTTTGCCAATTTGATTCTGCTGCCATAGTTCCTATTTTGTCAAGAAATGTAAACAACTACTTAATATGATTCATAATTTTTAAAAATTTTACAAAGCTCCTTCATTTTTGTCACCAAAATAATACATTTGAGAGAGATTTGTAAAACAACCAGCCTGGGGCTGAGATCCTGGGCAGATATTTCCTATGAGCATTCACTCCTTGCTTTTGGTAAGGCCATAGCTCTGGCTCCATTTCCCAGGGTGGACTGTTGTATCCTCATCCTCAGCTGCCCTGCGGAACACATGGTGTGGGGGCCTGGGAAGGGGGTCAAAGATGCCCCGACAGATCCCTGCAGCCAGGCTCTGTAAATGCAGGTCCAGCGTGGTGGGTGGGTGGGTGGCAGAGACCTCATGTGGCTTGGAGGAAGTCTTTATTTCTCAAGTGAAATAAAAATAAAATTGCAGTGAGAGCTGTTACTGTGATGTGTCTGAGTCGCTTTAGGAAAACTGCTGCCAAGTCCCTCCCCTCTTCATTTCCACCTGGACAGCCTGCTCTTCTTCATGCACGCGTGGCACACACACACACACACACACAACTGCAGGAAGAAAAAAATCCAAACTATTGCCAAACCCCAAGATCTGTTACCAGAGAGGGAGGAAAGAGGAAAAGGCTTGGAAGGACATCCCTCTTGCTAGCTTGTCCAAATCATGACTTCTCAGTGCTGGAAGGGCATTACATATTTTTTCCGGTCCAATTTATAGACAAGAAAGCGGCAAGGAGAAGTGTATTGAGTTGGTGACAGAGCTGAGGGAAAGGTTAGGCCCCCTGATTCGTGGTCCTGTGCTCTGAAAGCTGCCACACTGCTCTGGATGGCACAGAATATCCAGTCTACCAGGTTTCTAATGCACTTGGTGTGCCCGCTTCCTTTCCTCGTCCTCTGCATTCCACAGGTGACAGCTTTGGGAGCCACAATGGCTTTCAGCAGGACAGCGGGCCACTGGGAAGCAAGCTCACATTGTACGCTTGTTGGATGTGAACTGCACATCTAACCCCAGCACCATCCAGGTTTGGGCACCAACCAGAAAGCCCCATCATTTCAGACCCTATGCCCATGGGATCCAAGTCTGTTCCTGAGACAGGACAACCTCCCCAAGCCTGTCACACATCCCACCTGAGCTCTTCTGTACCTCCCAGAGAGCTGGTTAGTAACAACCCCACATAACTACTAAAAGAAAAATGCACACACCTGAAATCAGTTCAAACCAACTGAGTGTCTAAACAACTCAGCCAGCAGAGACTTTGGACACATGCTATTGGCTCCCATCATGGGGAGCAGAGGTGCTAGACTTCTCTCTTGCTCACTGCCCTTGAGCCCCCAGTGATTGTGGACTCTGAACCAGAAAAATGCCGTCCCATGAATTCACTTCTGTGGGAAGCAAGCTGGAAGATTAGAGAAGACCTACTGAATAAAAATGCCCCCAAATCTGTACCAGGAATGGTGGAATTGGGACTCAATCCTCCCTTTCAAAACCAAAACAAAAGAATTAAACCCAAATCCACCATAAAAATAAAGTCTACAAACCCTGGGAGACCTCAGATGAGCAGAGCTGGTGCTTATACCCCTTGGCACATGGGGTCTTTGGGGAAGGATGGCCCCTAAAAGCCAGTTCCCTTACTGCAGAAGGGTGCCCACAGGCAGGTGCTGGTGGAAAGACAGGCAAGGAACACAGCCCCCTCTCTGAGTCACATTCCCTATCGTCCCAGGGTTAAAGAAGAGGCCCAGGGATGGTCACCTGGAAGTGCTTCTTAGCAGGATCTGACTGAGGTAAACCCCACCATTCCCCTGTGTGAAGTGCATATTCCCAGAACTAGAAAACCTTTCAAAAACCTCATTCACTTTCTTTGCCCAAATCACCACTAAAAATGTGCCATTAGTGCTTTTGGCCAAAAGTGCCTATTTTTCCGTGAGTTTTGCTCTCCTGAGATGGGAGGTGGGGGGAGCACTTAGCAGAGCCATGGCTTCTGATGAGGTAAAAGGGAGGGAGGGCAGGAAGGTGAAGGCCACGGATCTGTTAAAACATTCACAGTATCAGATACAGCTGAGCAACTTCTTATGTCTTTGATCTAGAGAAGCTCCAAAAAAAAAAGAATAGGAGGGAGGAAAAACAATACTACATTCTTAGCAGAGGTCTCTGCCTTACCCAAACCACCCTCCACAAAGGGACAGGGATACTTTCCTGGGGTATGTGGGTCAGGGCAGCACCCTACCTGACATTCTGGTAAAGTCACATCATTGGCTCTGAAAAGGGCTGGTTTTTAAAGTTTCTGCTGTTATCCAAAGGGTATAAAACGAGGGGAAGAGCAAGGCAGCCCCATTAAGCTGGCTTTGGCCCCCAACACAGCTGACAGAGTCTTTGAAGGATTTCCAGAAGAATTCTGTGGACCCTGTCAGTATCTGGGTTGGAAATAAATGGGGATAGGCTAGGTTGACGGGGTTACAAACCACCCCATAAAAAACAAAAGCTCTTTAAAAACAGTCTGTAGAGTGAAAAGTTGAACAGTTCTGGTATCACAATATAGAAAAGGTATTCAAAAGGTCAGTGATATCTAGAAGACTCTGTTGGTATAAACTCCAAATAGAAAATGAAATTAATTTTCTGGTGGTTTAGAATAATCTTGAAAGTCTGAAGTCTGATTATTGCAGGTTAGCTTCTTTCTCATTTCTCTGGTTTCCTCTTGGATAGATGGGCAGGGAGTTGGGGGATAGATGATTCCTAAAGGAAAGAAAAGCGAAGTTGATAATTCCTGCAAAGAAGACTTACCCAGTCCCATTACCAAATTCTTGTGGCCACAAGTAATAATTAAGGTCTGAGCGGCTCTATAGGACCTAGCCCTGACTGGGGATTGTTGGCATCTTCAAGTCATTTGTAAACTACTTTTAGGCATGACTTTATCTGGATCCCCATCTCCCAAAAAGCAGCTAACCTGCTTCCAACTCTCTAGTCTGCTGCAAGAACTTTAGCCACTTCTTCCTGTCCCCCAAACCCTCCATTTCCAGACAGCCCGGCCCTGCTTTTCCTGGTTTTGTTCTCTGGACCTTCTCTGGGACAGCAAGGAGCAGAGCAGCAGAAAGAACGGGGAGGCAGGCGAGGTAGAGAAGCAAGAGGTTGCATGAAGATTCAAGAGGTGGGTGGGGATCTACATCACTTTTGGGGTATCTCCTCCAACCCATCACTGCTGGCACTGCTAAGGGCGGGAGGACACAAGGAGACCTCACTGTTTCAGTTGGAGCCAAATACTTAACTTATGTGGCCCTCATCAATCTCTCCCCTGCCTTCACTGTACCAAGCTCCCAGAGTGGCCAGGGTTCCTGTCCAGTGTGCTCTGAGGCTGGGATAGTGAGCACCCTCCACGACAGCAAGAACAGCCCCTACCTGAGCTCATTCCTCAGAGATTTCGGTCTCCTGATGGACGACCACCTTGGTCACTGACATGTCTGGATGCTGCTCCTTTGCCTCCTTGATGGCCTGAACCAGGACCTGAGAAAGACAGAAAGGATACCTGTCAGGCAGAAAGCACCCTGGCTGATGAAGTACGGCAGGCGTCATAGGACAGCATTTTTCTGGCAAATTCAATCCTGTTTGCAATACCAGGGCAGCAGTTAGGCTAAGCCCAGCTGGTAATACCTTACCCACTCTATCCTGCACAAGGACGCTCCTGTACTAAAAACACAGAGACGGGGAAGGTTAGAGCTGTCTTTAAGGAATCAGGGCTTCCTTATGATGAGAGCAGGGCTGATGGCAGCACCTGCTGGGTGAGTCTGGGAGGATCCACTCAGAAGTGAGTCTAAAGGACAAAGCAAAATCTATGTTCAACAAAGGGTGCCTGGGAAGTTCAGAACAGAAGAGGAAAATAAAGAAGCATTCTACAAAAAGGAAGAAAAAGGAAGAGCTGTCTTTGGCTAAAGTAGGGAGAAGAAAGGAAGAGTGGGGGGCCTATTACATATCATGTACTAGCCTAACTGCATTACTTATTATATAATTAATCTTCATAACAACCCAATGAATAAGGGTAGACCCATTATTTCCCTTTTTATAAATGAGGAAACTGAGGTTCAGTGGTTAAAGTGCTTAATGTTTCACAGCTAGTAAGTAATGCCACAGGGGTTCTAACTTAAGTCCACTGGGCTTTCCTCTTTACCATTCTGTCTTTTAGGTTGGGGGGGGGGGTTAGCATCTGAAGGTGGTTTGATAGTTTTAGATAAGTTAGAGGGATCAGAGGGAAAGAGCAATGACGCTGCCACTCTCCTTGGGCTGCAAGTCTCTGAGCCTCTAGCTGAGAACCCCAAGGTGCGGCAGCCTTTGGAGGCTGGTAGCACAGCACTTCTCAGAGACGGCAACCCTATTAAAAGGACTCTGGCCCTGGCTGGTTTGGCTCAGCAGTTAGAGCGTCGGCCTGCAGTCCAGAGAGGCCTGGGTTCGGTTCCTGCTAAGGGCACGTACCTCAGTTGCAGTTCGACCCCGGCTCCGGTTGGGGTTGTGTGGTGGCGACCAGTCAATGTGTCTCTCTCACATGGATGTTTCTCTCTCTCTCTTCCTCCCTCTCCCCCTCCGGCTCTATCTGAAGATAAACGCAAAAATGTCCTCGGGTGAGGATTAAAAAAAAAAGGCTCTAGCTGCCCTGGCCAGCGTGGCTCAGTTGGCTGAGTGTCGTCCCATGCACCAAAACGTAACAGGTTTGATTCCTGGTCAGGGCACATGTCAGGGTTGCAGGCTAGATTGCCAGTAGAGGGCATGCTAATAGGTGTGCACGAGGCAGCCAATTGACATTTCTCCCTCTCCCTTCCTCTGTCTCTAAAAATCAACAAAATTATTTTAAGAAAAGAAACAATCTCTAAGATGGGGATGGAGGGACAGAGGAAGAAAGGAAATCCCTCTTTTGTCTCTTGACTCATGAAAGCCATTCTTGGAACTACCACCTCTGTAGGCCCCTGCTCATCTGCCCTTTTTGCCCAACTCATCTGCTTCAGGGCCCAGCCCAGCCCTCTCTTTGGTTCCTCTGGCTTTTACCTATCTCTCTATGAAAGCCTGCATCACACTTCTCCTGAATAGTCCTTCTTTTTTTTTATCCTCACCTGAGGACATTTTTCCATTTTTTTTTTTGTTTTTGTTCAGGTAGAGTGGGAGGGAGAGAGAGGAACAGAGAAAGAGAGAGAAACATCGACGTGAAAGGAACACATCGAGTGGCTGCCACCCGCACAACCGACCAGGGCCGGGGACAAACTGCAACCGAGGTAAGCGCCCTTAGCGGGAACCGAACCCGGGTCTCTCAGGACCGCAGGTCGACGCTCTAACCGCTGAACCAAACCGGCCAGGGCTGAATAGTCCTTCTTAAAGTGCTTCCCTTCCCCATCCAGAAAGCACCACACCTTACCCCTTTCATGTAGCCCTGAGAACCTACAAGAACTGCGGAACCCTGGAGCCTCTCTCTGAGCTATCAAGTGTGCTTGTCCCTTTGTCACCACAACCCTGAAAATAACCTAAGATTATCTTTATAGATGGTGAAACTACATCTTAGAGAAGTCAAGTCACCTGTTCAAGGGCATACAACCAGTGAGCAATGGAGTCAGGATTCGACCCAGGTCTATCTCACTTCAAACCCCACACACTTGGGCTGAGCAGCCTTGTTGCTGGGGCTCGGCAGCCGGCATTCTTAGCTTTAAGTCTCAACCCTGCTGCCAAGGGAACTGCCAGCACTGCAGCTCAGGTTTTCTTTCTTCCTCTTTTTAAATGCACGCAGCACATCAGCATAAAGGCCATAGAGCTACTGGTCAATGATTCCGGAAGTGCATGCAGTGTCTTCCTCCCCCTCTTCTCTGAAGCTACTCTTCTAACCTCACTGGCAGAGGATTGGGAACATTAATCCTGACCTTATTATTTGCTAATTGCTTGCAGCACAGAATTAGGACCTAATTAACATAAAAACATAGATGGTAGCTCTCAGAAGGGCCCAGAAATGATCTAGATCAAAGTACTCTTTTAGGAGAGGAAAAAATATCAGAGGTAAAGTGATTTGTCCAAGGTCACACAGTGAGTGATAGTTTTAGGGCAGAAATCAAGTCCAGTCTATGTCCCCTTAGTTGTCTCCTGAGCTATGATGGCCCCTAGGGTAGAGGTCATACCTTCCTTTTGCTTTGATACCACCTACTGTCCCTAGCACAGGTTCAGGTACCCGATATCCCCCAAACTGCAACAGCTCCATTTACTTGGAGACCACCATATGCTATGTGTTATACATTCATATATCACTGAGTCTCACAACAACCTTGAGAGGAAGATGCTAAAATGCCCATTTTATAGATGAGGAAGTGGAAGCCTTGGGAGTTAAGAGCTAGAATATGGTTAAGACCTAGGATGTTAACTCAGGTGTTTTGAGTCTAAAGTCCATTTCTTCCTATTACACTTCCTTTTTTCGACAATCTACGGCCCCCATCCCACAGGCCTCTGTGATCTGATTCCCTTCGTCTTTCTTCTGGAGTAAGAGCTGGAGTAGCCGAGGGGGCTCTCTGGAGGTGAAACTGGCAGAGGTGTCTTTTGCATCCATCAATCTTCCTGCCCAGGGCCTCCTCCCATGCCCAGAATCTCCTCATCATCCCCACCTGATCATGGTCAATATCAGCATCTCCTGTGATCACAATTCTCTTTTCAATCCGGGTCTCTGATATTCCACCTTTTACAGTCTGAAACCAAAGGGAGGTGGTCATAAGAGAAAGAAAGAAAAAAGAAACAACAAGAAATTATTCTGAAAGTTCCAATCCAAATTTTAATCTGCTGCTGGGTACCGGATAGGATAGCTTCTCACCTACTTGTCCAAAGTCTTAGCTGGACCTGCTAAATGAACACACCTCTATTCCCTGGGATTGCTAAAATCTTCAATAAGTTAAACAAAGTCATAATTTTCAATTTGTTTACTTTTCCCTTTTTATTCCTCCCAAATACCACAGAAATGCAGTGAGTAAACACAATAGACAGATGCATGGTCTAGATATGTTACGTAACAGGCTTCCCATTATCTGTGTGGTGATGACAGAGCCTGGTCAGAAGTCTAGATTTCCTACTTATAAGAAAATCATTTTCCTCTAGTGCTGCAGCAAATGTGGCCTGTCCAACTGTCTGGGAGCAGTTCCAATCGTAGAGATGTTGTCCCTCTTGCCCCCATAAGCAATACTGTAATAATTCCAGTATTTCGGCATCTGATATAGTTCCCATGGCCTTGATCATGGGCATGACAAAAATTCTTTGTTGGACCCCGTGTTCTTGTTTTTTGGCTTAAAAAATATGGTTGCATAATAATACCAACAACACTTGCCCTTAAGTTGATTTTTTAAACTTACCTCCATAGCCAGATAGGAGACTCACTAACTGAAGAATCAGACAATGTGTAAAGAGAACAACCACATGTGACTTTATGAGACTACCAAGTAGGCAGGGACATTCTGAAGGTCTCCCTTGGTTTATTCCTGGGGAAAGCAGCAAGTCCTTTCCACTTGGGACACTGGGAATAATTTGGCTCAGTAAGGACGGAGCAGGAAACCCTTGTTTATGGACCAGGGTCCGTCCTGCAGAGAGGCAGCAAGCTTGACATGCCACTGGATTCCAGAAGGAAGTACTGGCTGGTCTGTTACCTTGGTAATCTGAGTTGTGGTGGTGCTGCTGGTGGTCTCAGATGTGATGGTCTGAGCTGTCAGCAAGACTCCTGGGTCCAAGTCCCCATTGTTGTCGTCAGTCTGCAGAAGAGAAGGGAACATGACCCATCATTGTGCCTCTCAGGAAGCGTTATGGGCAAATGTTGCAGAATGCAGTTCTGCTCTTCAGGTGTACATTCTAAATCAAAACCCTGATTCCTTTACAGTGATATCTTAATAAATACAATTTTAAAAAATACTCTGGCAACGAGACTCCTTCCAAAAAAAAGTTGGATAGATCCAGTTTCCTTTGGCATTGAGTCAATAATAGAAGTAGATCAGAAAGAGGAGGTGGAATGTAGCCATGGGTTCCACCAGACTCATAGTTCCACAAGAACTATGCACTGTCATGACCTTTTTGATGCTCACATAGCCCTATAAGTAAATAGAAGTGCTGAGGTTTATTAGCATTCCCAGGTAAAAAAAAAACTCAGGCTCAGAAGATGAATGATTTGCCCCAAAACTCAAAACTAGTGGGTGGCAGTTGTCCTCTCTACAAATCTGGAGCTCTTTATTCAAACCACCCAAGGCAGGAAAGGCATAAACCCTTGGTTGCTAAAGCATGGGTAGGTTTGGAATCATAGGGTAAGCTTTCCGGAAAAGACCTCAAAAGGTCCTTGTTGGGGCTTATGGGGCCAAAATCTCAGGTTATCTTCTTTGACCATAGAGATGGGAGACTGGAACAAATGGGGTAGGAAATGTCTCTTCAAGGCAAAGTGTAAGGAAATATACATAATCTCTCAATGACATTTCTGACAACACTATTATTGAAATGGATCCTCCTTATTATAGGAGAGGTTTAAAAGTATTCATGCCCTGGCTGGGTAGCTCGGTTGGTTAGAGCATTGTCCAGATATGCCAAAGTTGCATGTTTGATCTCCGGTCAGGGCACATACAAGAAGCAACCAGTGAATGCATAAATAAGAGGAACAAGTCAATGTTTCTCTCTCTCTAAACAGAATTTAAAAAAATATGTTTGCATTGATTTTTTAGAGAGAGAAAAAGGGAGAAAGAGATAGAAACCTCGATGTGAGAGAGAAACACTGATGGGCCGCCTCCTATATGCCCCTTACTGGGGATGGAGCCCGCAAAAGGGGCATGTGACCTGACCAGGAATCGAACCAGGACCTCTCAGTCCATGGGACAATGCTCAATCCACTGAGCCACACCAGCCAGGCTCTAAAAACATTTTTTTTAAATATTCAAAATGCCTGCCCTGGCTGGTTTGGCTCAGCGGTTGGAGCGTTGGCCTGCGGACCAGAGAGTCCCGGATTAGGTTCCTGCTAGGAGCATATACCCAAGAAGAAGAAAAAAAATGCCGAGCTATACAATTAATCTATATAGAGAACAAGGGCTGAGGCTACTTCTTGTTTCTCTGGAGCTCACCACATTACGACCAAGACAAACATACTATAGTCAGGCTGAGAAATGACATTAGCAAAAAAGAAGAGAGATGGTTGGCAGGAACCAAACTCAATCTGATGAAAAGTTAGGGCCATTAGACTCGAAGCTGCTGATAACCCCACAATCAAGATGGAAGCAAATGAGACTGGAAAGATAGAGGCTGCCTATAGCAACATGCTTTTCAGATGCTAATGACCTAAAATACCTGGTACTGTACACTGTCTCAGAGGAGGATTTAGAGAATTGCAATTATTTCCTTCTTTTTTTTCTTTTCCTCACCCGAGGACATTTTTTCGTTTTTTGTTCAGATAAAGTGGGAGGGAGAGAGAGAAACATCGACATGAAAGGGACACATCGAGTGGCTACCACCCGGACGACCCAATCAGGGCCACAGACAAACTGCAACCAAGGTACATGCCCTTGGTGGGAACTAAAACTGGGTCTCTCTGGACCGCAGGCCGACACTCTAACCGCTGACCCAAACCAGCCAGGGCGAGAATTGCAATTATTTTCATAAAGAATCTTGAAGCAGCCCAGCCGGTGTGGCTCAGTGGTTGAGCATCAACCCATGCACCAAGAGGTCACTGGTTCGATTTCCAATCAGGGCACATGCCCAGGTTGTGGGCCCGATCTTCAGTGGGGAGCATGCAGGAGGCAGCCAATCGATGTTCTCTCATCGATGTTTCTATCTCCCTCTCCCTTCCTCTCTCTCTAAAAATCAATAAAGAAAAAAAATTGAAAAAAAAAAAAAGAATCTTGAAGCAAAAATTGTGTTTATTATCTTTCTCTACCTCTTTAAACAAGTCATTTGTATTATAAGCAGAGGCCTCCAAACTTTTTATGAACAGGACCACATTTTACTAAGGCAAAACTTTGAGATATTGGAGGAAGGAGAAGATAATTAGGAAGGAGAAGTCCCTGGCTGGGTTCCCTTCCAAGTAGGAATCTAGACAAAACAAAGAGAGGGAACATGGTCGTGGCACCATCATACTGGGTGTATTATTGGCTAGTTCGCTGATACTTTCTTCAGCCCAGACCCTCTTATCTACCTTAGATTCAGACTTAACTAATATTTACTACAATCCTACTATGTGCCAACCACATAATGTAACTGTTATCCCAATTATACTTCTCAGTATCTGAGGTAGGTCCTATTATTATACTCACTGTATATAGCTAAGAAAACTGAGGTCCAGAGAGGTTAAATAATTGGTTATGGTTCTATCATTAATAAGTGTTTGAACTAGGACTTAGGGTGAGAAACTTCTTGTTTGAAGACAGAGGTTTGGGTCCAAGCTCTAATAACGAGACAAGTTATTCTGACTTCTCTGTGTTTACGTTTTCCCATTCATAAAAGGTAGTTCTGCCTCCACCAGAGCTTTGTTTTGAAGATCAAAAGAGATTACAGAAATAACAATTTGTAAATTGTTATAAGAATATAAATTTGCATGCCAGGAGGGTTAAAACTTTTTATTATTATTATTATATTTTATTATTATAAAATTTAAAAAATATTTTTTCTTTATTGATTTCAGAGAGATAGAAAGGGAGAGGGAAAGAGATAGAAACACTGATGAGAGGGACCATTGATTGGCCGCCTCCTGCATGCCCCCCACTGGGGCCCACAACCTGGGCATGTGCCCTGACGGGGAATCAAACTGGCAACTTCTTGGTGCGCGGGTCGATGCTCAACTACTAAGCCACACTAGCCGGGCAAACCTTTTTATTTTTATTTTATTTATTTTTAAATTGTTTCTACAGAGAGAAGAAGGGAGAGGGAGAGAGAGTGAAACATTGACGTGAGAGCAAAAGATCAATCAGCTTCCTCCTGCATGCGCCCTGACCAGGTCTTCCCAGACCTGTTTTAGTCATATTTCTGTCTGCAGGCATCCCACCACTTTAATATAGTCAGCATACAACCTGGGCATGTGCCCTGACCAGAAATCAAACAGACAAACCTTCGGTGCCCAACCAACTGGCCAGGGTGGCTAAGCCTTTTAAAAGAGCTCTTCCTTTACTAAACCTGTAATTTTATTTTACCTTTCCCCCACCCCCTTACTCCTCCCTTTCTGTCTCTGAAGAAGGTAGAAGATGGAGGAAACACTGTTAGAATTTCCAACTTATACTCTTCCCACGTCAGACTTGGTTTCCTTGACCCTCCTACCAATGTTTCCCCAAAATGGTACTATAGCTTTGACAGTTGCTTGTAAAGTTAAACATCCATTTATCCTGTGACCCAGCAATTCCACTCTTAGGTGTTTACCCAAGACAACATAGGTCCACAGAAAGACTCCCACACAAATATTTATAGCAGCTTTATTCCTAATTGCCCCAAACTGAAATCAACTCAAATGTCCATCAACAAATAAAAGGATAAACAAATTGTGGTAAATTCACATAATGAAATACTATTCGACAATAAAAAACAGTAAACTGTGGATTCATATAATATAAATGAATCTGAAAAACATGTTCAGACACAAAAGTGTTCTATTGTATACTCTATTTGAAGTCCCAGAACAGGCAAAACCAAGCTATGGTGATAAAAATCAGAGCAGTTGCCTAGAGGGATAGGGACTGACTAGAAAAAGTTACAAAAAAAGGAGTGATGGAAATGTTCTGTATCCCAAATGTGTCTTGGTTACAAAGGTATATACATTTGTCAAAGCCAATCAAAAAGAACACTTACAATCTGTGCATTTCACTGGAGGGAAGCACACATATACACAAACTGTAAAACCCTATTCTGGCTCTCCATCTCTTCTCACCATATTTCCCAAAGCGTGGGATTGTGGAAGAATAGCAAAAAGGTTCCTGGGTATACTTGTCTGGCAAGATAATAAAAATAGAAGAAAAAGTACTTATAACAAGCAAATAAATAATTATAATAGCAAAAAATTATCTGGTGCTTATTATATGCCTGCCTGGCACTTTTTTCTACAGATTATTTACATCATTTTGCACTGTGCTTTTTCATTTACCAATAGATTATTCCCATCAGAAGCTTTTTTAAATAGCTGCATAGAACTACCTACATTGGATGTACCATAATTTATTTAACTTGTGCCCCAATGATGGACATTTAGGTTGTTTCCATGGTAGTGACAACATAAAGGACTTCCTCTCATAAGCAAGTAGTTCTTTCCTTCCCTTTTTTAGTCCCTCTCACTGCCAAGTCCTATTCATTCACTCTGTCTCTCCTGACACAATTCTGTCTTTCACTGTTTCCTCAGGCTACACTTCGGTTCTTCACAAGCATCTCCCCAGACCTGTTTTAGTCATATTTCTGTCTCCAGGCATCCCACTACTTTAATATAGTCAGCACACAGCTTTAGGAATCATCTTCCAAAATCATTGCTTTAATTATGCCACTTTATCACCACTATTAAAAAATTTAAGCAACTTCTCATTATTTCCCAAATTCAAAGTCCACACTCTAGAGCACAAGAAAGAGAAGAGGGAAGCATTCTAACATTAACTAAATGTCTATGAATGTGCCAAAAACTTTACAAATATCATTTCACTTAATCCTCCCCCAAATCTTGTAATAATGGGTAGTATCCCTATTTTACAGCTGAGGAACCAGAGGCTGAGAGAGATAAGTACTTTGTTTGAAGTGATGCAGCTAGTCATCCTGCAGGCCTTGGCCAAAATGTCATCTCCTCAGGGAGAATTTTCTATTCTAGCCCCAAAGTAGCAACCTTTCAATGTAATCCCAGATTGTCTAACTCCTTATTTTAGTTTTGTTTCTTTCTTTTTTTTATCCTCACCCTAGGACATTTTTCCATTTTTTGTTCAGATAGAGTGGAAGAGAGAGAGAGGAAGAGAGACAGAGAGAGAAACATCGATGTGAAAGGGACACAACGAGTGGTTGCCACCCGCACGATCAACCAGGGTTGGGGACAAACCACAACCGAGGTAAATGGCCTTGGTGGGAACTGAACCCAGGTCTCTCTGGACCGCAGGCCGATACTCTAACCACTGAGCCAGGGCTAGTTTTGTTTTTTTGTAGCACTTCACTGTCTGAAATTTATATATTTGTGTTATGTATTGTCTGTCTCTCCTGATCAAATATAAGTTCCAGAGGATATGACCAGTGTTTACCTTGTACACTGCTTTGGCCTAATAAATAAATGCTCAATATTTAGTCCTGGCCGGCCAGGTAGCTCTGTTGGTTGAGCGTCATCCCATGCACCAAAAGGTGCTAGTTCAATTTCAGGTCAGGGCACAGTCCCGAGTTGCAGGTTCGGTCCCTGGTCCAGTTGCATATGGGAGGCAACTGATCAATGTTTCTCTCTCTCTAAAATCAAGATAAAAAAAAAAAAAGCAACCAATGAATGCATAAATAAGTGGAACAACAAATCAGTGTTTATCTTTCTCTAAAAATTTAATTAATAAATTAAAAAAACTAAAAAAAGAAATATTTATTGCAGAAATGAATTAACAGCTCAATTTATACAGGGGAAAAGGTTTTTGTTTTTTTAATTTTTTAAATTTATATTTATTTATTTTTTAAAATCCTCACCTGAGAATATTTTTACATTTATCTTCAGACAGAGTGGGGGGGTGGGGAGACAGACAGAGAGAGAGAGACAGAGAGAGACAGAGAGAGAAATATCGATGTGAGAGAGATACATTGCTTGGCTGCCACCTGCACGACCCCAACCAGGACCAGGGACCAACCGAAACCGAGGTACGTGCTCTTGGCTGGAATGAAACCTGGGATTCTTTGGTCCATGGGCCAATGCTCTAACTGCTGAGCCAAACAGGCCAGGGCAAGGGAAAAGTTTTTATTACAGTTGGCTTCTGTGAATTAAAAAATAAAGGAAAGAAAAACAATTCAACATAACCAACCCTACCTCATTCAAATTGCCAATAATGAAAGAGAAATATTTTTGTTTTTGTTAATCCTCACCCAAGGATATTTTCCCACTGATTTTTTTTTTTCATCCTCACCCGAGGACTTTTTTCCATTTTTTGTTCAGATAGAGTGGGAGGGAGAGAGAGGAAGAAAGAGAGAGAGAGAGAGAGAGAAACATCGACGTGAAAGGGACACATTGAGTGGCTGCCACCCGCATGACCAACCTGGGCTGGGGGCAAACTGCAACAGAGGTACATGCCCCTAGCGGGAACTGAACCCGGGTCTTTCTGGACCGCAGGCCAACGCTCCAACCGCTGAGCCAAACCGGCCAGGGCTCCCACTGATTTTTAGAGAGAGTGGTAGGAAGGGAGGGGGGGAGGGAGTTTGGGAGAGAGAGAGAGAGAAACATCAATGTGAGCTAAACACATCTATTGGTTGACTCCTGCACAATCCCAACTGGGGCCGGGGATCAAATCTGCAACTCAGGTTCATGCCTTTGACTGGAACTGAATCTGCAACCTTTCAGTCAGTGAAATAAAAATTTTATTAAAAGTAGGACATAGCCCTGGTCGGTTTGGCTCAGCGGTTACAGCGTTCGGCCTGCGGTCCAGAGAGACCCGGGTTCGGTTCCCGCTAAGGGCATGTACCTCGGTTGCAGTTTGTCCCTGGCCCTGGTTGGGTCGTGCGGATGACAAACACTCGATGTGTCCCTTTCACGTTGATGTTTATCTCTTTCTCTCCCTCCTACTCTATCTGAACAAAATATCGAAAAAATGTCCTCAGCTGGGAATAAAAAAAGTAGGAAATAAACAAAACTTTTAAATACTTAAATTCTTATGTGATATTAAATTTAATTGTACTAAATTGAATTTAGTAACTATAGCTGTTATTTATTTGTGTTTTCAGGCATGGTGCTCAAGTCAATTTAATGCAGTACTATATCATATAATCTATAGCAAAATCATGAGGTAGATACAGGTCATGTGGGGAAGAGGTGGGGGTGGGGCGGGGCATTAAAGCTCAGAGATGTTCAGTTATTTGCTTAATAAATGGAGAAGCGAGGACTTGAACTCAGGTTTGTTTGACCCAAAGTTCACGTTCGTTGTTTTTTTCTTTTTAGTCCTCACCTGAGGATATTTTTCTATTTATCTTCAGATACAGTGGGAGGGAGTGGAAGAGAGAGAGAGAGAGAGAGAGAGAGAGAGAGAGAGAGAGAGAGAGAGAAACATCGACGTGAGAGGGACACATTGACTGGGTCTCTCCTACACGACCCCGACCAGAACTGGGGATGAACCACAACCGAGGTATGTGCCCTTGACCAGAAATGAACCTGCGACTCATTGATCCACAGGCCGAGGCTCTAACACTGAGCCAAACCAGCCAGGGGAAAGCTCATGTTATTAACCATTACATTAGACTGCTTTCCTTAAGTGAATTGGGTTAATATAAGCAATTAGATCCAAGACAATTTTGATTTTATGAAGTATTTTGGGATATTCTTAGATCAGTGATCTCTTCTAAAAAGAATGGCCCCAGAAAAACCTAGCATTATCTAGAGCAAATAATTAGAAACCCTGTGAAGAAAAATTATTTACTATGTTTACTCTAGTCTTTGGTTTTGAAACATTAAACCTTGTCCTACCTGAGCAGCCTCGTAGGTGATGGTCTTTGTCTCAGTGTGAACAATAGGGACATCTTTGGTGGGGATTTCACTTTTCACAGCATTGGCAGTATCTGAGATGGTGACGGTCTGAGTCTTCACCAGGGGGGGCTGTGAAGCAGTAAAGAAATGTTACCAGAATCTTCTGAAGGCTGTGGAGAACTAATCTTCTGTCATTGATCTGATCAAAGTGATAGCTCTAATCAAGCAAAGGGCTAGCTCAGTCTCTGCCCAAGATTTGGGCACTACTCCAAAGTAGCTTCTGACAAGGTGTCAAATCATGAGGGATATTACAGAACAGCATTACTGCAATCACTTTCATATGCTTAATGGAAAGCTATAAGATCAGACAATTATGACTGGTGATACAAAGCACTTCAGACTGACCTTCAGAATTTGAAAATAAAACTATTTGCCAAATAGCAGTCACTTTTGTTTGCCCTTGTGACTATACCATTAAGAAAATCAGCCACGTTTCCTCCAAGTTCAAATGGTACATGAAACAGCCGTGGCATTAAAATGCATTACCTTGCAATTCATTAACTTCTTTCAAATCAACGTCAGATACTCACTTTGGAGTGATTGAGAAGAAACAGTATTTGGAAAACTGGAAAGAAAATAATCAGTTCTACCACCACCTGGTGATTAATCTCAGAATTTCAGAAGAATGAACATTAGTGGAATATCAAAGGCTTCTGGTCCATCAATTCACCTTCCCCAAGACTATAAATCACCCTAAAACTACCATTTGATTGTGATACAGTTAAGTGGCCATCCACCTTAGCACAGAAGATTAGTGCCTATGATCATGGAAGCCCCTGTGAGTGGTGTTAGTGGGAGTGGTGGGCTGTACAGTGTGGCTACAATACATAAATAATTTTGGAGGGGCCTGAAATTTCATAATAAAATCAGTTACCCCTTCTAATTAGGAGCATTTGAATTTTTGAGCATGGTCTCAGAACACTGTAAGCTCCTCCTCATATAAGTCTTAGAAATTCATCTCTTTACATTGCCCATACTTGTGCAAGGGAAAGAGAAACACACACCAGCTTCATAAAGGTGAACAGCTGGAGTTTACACCCAAGAATCTTGTTAAGTCATCAGGGGATAAAGCATTTCATGAAGTTAATTCCTCTGACTAAATTTCTTTATAGTAATCAAGGGCTTCAATATTATTTTGTGATTTTGAAAAAGCAGAGAGACTACTACCCTCACCACCACCACCACCACCACCTCCACCTCCACCTCCTCCACAGAACAGATTCTGGCCCTCTCCCAAAGTGAGTCATTAGACCTGCATCACCGAATTGGTTACTACCTGGAAACTTCGAATGAGGGTGGGGAACTGGTTACCCACACAAGAGTCAAGAAATGATCCATTTTGCTTTCCAAGTAGCTCTCCTGGTGTAACATGTTCTTCACTACTCTCTGCCTTTTTTTCACCAAGTTGCAGCTGAGAGGAAGCTGGTGATACTGAGAACTTTAAGGCACTGGCCTTTTCCTCCATTCCTATACATTCCCCACTGAGGCCTCTTGGCATTTCCTTAATATCAAGATAGCCAGGTGCCCCCTGCTCCTTCTCTTCTGTTTCCTTGCTGCTTATGGAGAGGGAGCCAAAGTCAAAGCTTTGTGGAGACTCCAAGGTGGTCATTTGGCTCTTACTAGGAATTACTGAATGCTTGGGGCCCTCCCATTCAGAGTCGGGGTTGGTAGATGGCCCCTTTGTCATGGCAGCCGCCGCCTCTGTGCGAATGCCATTTATATTCTACAAATGAATGAACACATACAAAAGCAAGAAGATTAGGAATAAGGGGAATATAGTACACTGTGAAAATCAGCAATGATTTTAAGAGGACTCAAAAACATTAATACTAATATAAACCAATAATCTTAGCTTCTGAGTTAGTCAAAAGAAGAATTAAGCAGTTTCAGCAGTTTTAACTTCATTTTGGTCATATTTCTAGAACTCTGTTAATCTGAGAAGTAAGTTCGATGTCCCTCACCCTGTACCAAGCACTTTTTTGTTTGTTTTTTAATCCTCAACCAAGGATATTTTTCCATTTATCTTCAGATAGAGTGGGAGAGAGGGAAGGAGACAGAGGGAGAGAAACATCGATGTGAGAGTTACTCATTGACTGGTTGCCTCCCACACAACTCGACCAGGGCCAGGGACAAACCGCAACTGAGGTACATGTCTTTGACCATAATCAAATCTGCGACTCTGGTCCACAGCCGACACTCTAACCACTGAGCAAAACCAGCCAGGGCAGCATTTTGTATTATTATGGTCTTTCCTGAGTGACATACTCTTCATACTTAAAGGAGTTACTTTGCCATTCCTAAATACTCAACTCATTACTATACACAGGATACAGTGCAGTTTACAAGCCAATCAAAACATATTCTTGAAGAGCCTGATCAGGTCGAAAACTGCTTCATGTCTCCAGGCTATGTGTATCTTCATACTAGCTTAACGCAGAAGCTAAAATCTAGACTTTGGTTGGCAGGGATATAGAAGTTGAGTTCACCCGCACAGACTCACTTAATCCCATCATTGCCATAGAATTCAAAGTAATATAAAAAATATGAAACATTTCTTTGTAAACAGAATATAAGTGACCCAGCAGCTGAGGTCATTTCTTCACAGATGAATGACTAACATCTGCAACCCCTAAGGGAAAAGAATCCTGGAAACACAGTTTCCTCTTAGGCTAAATGCCCCACATCACAGGAAAACAGATCTAAAATAAGTACTTCCAAGAGAATGTGGATGAGAAGAAAATGCCACAGTAGATGGACCTATTCCTAAAGTTTAAAGAAATGTGCTAAAGGTGGAAGACGAGAAGGAATTCATACTAGTAGGAAAAGAACGAGCCATTTGAAAAATGAACAATCTAACAGAAGCCAAATGTCATGAGAAGTAACACATGCAAGTGCTCACCAGAAAGCTGTAAATACGCCACTTAGGCCTGAAATTTTGGTAAGGTCAATTTACTATATTACATACCAACATAAGAACTGAATCACAGACAGAGACTCTCTTAAAAAGGTGTTCTTGAAGTAAATGACATATGCTTGGACCAGCTTACACATTTCAGTACTCACATAGCTGCTGTTCCTTTACTTGTAAACCAGCCTACACTGTGATGAATATAAATCAGTGCTCTGTTAAGGCAAGAAAAGATGCAGTGTACTCAAGAACTTGAGGCCAACTTTTCTTCTAACCATCTTGAAACAGTGAGGAGCATCACAAAGTGGTACAAATTGAATTTCAATTAGGCAGATCTTTCATTGACTGATTATACATATTACTTAGGACACAAAAAAATGGAATTGAGAAATGACAATAGAAACTGTCTCTGTCTGCAGATACATAAAATATTCTTGCTAAGAGTATATGATGTCCTTATTCTTGAAATGAGAATACTCGGTTTGACTCATGGGGTTCTGAAGATCAAATACAATAATCTAAATGAAAGCACTTTGTAAATTCTAAAGTATCATATAGATTCACTTAATTCAATCAACATTATCTGAGCATCTATAATATACTAGGGCCTGGGGACACTAGAATGAACTTGTTGTAATATTATTAACACACTGTACTCTCTAGGGTACTCATCTCACCATTTCTTTTGGGTTAGACAAGCTGATATAGAGATATCCAAAAGTAGATCAATAAACAAATAGGCTTCCTCAAATTGCTATATGCTAGCTCTGTGAATAGCATATCCAAACCTCTTCACATGGAGAGGAATTTCATGGCTTTTTCATATACATACACATTTACAACTGAGAAGGCTGACTAATAAGCAGGAAAATGCCTAAGGTAATCAAACAAGTAAGAGACAATTTTGTACCAGTCTACTCAAGTGATAAGTGGTGGTCTGTCACCAAGAAGCCATTTATGAATTAAACATTGTTTAGGCCAGCACCTGGCCCAAAGTTGCCTACTGCTGAGTAAAATTAGATAGATCAATCATTTTTTTTCAAAGCATGTACAGAGGAGACCAAGGGTAAAAGCTGTAATATCAATTCAACAAATATTTACTGATTACCTGATATGTATTAGTCATTGGAAATAAAGGAAAACTGATAGCAGTTGGATTAAATTACCACTTACAGCACTCTCATATATGGCCAAATCCACTTCTTCAGTTGGCTCTGTTGTCCAGATCCCTTGGACAACACAGCCAACTACTTACTGGACATCCTCCCAGGCATATGGAATGCAATATGTCCCAAATTAAACTCATCTCTGCTGTTGTCTGGATTTGTCACCCCAACCTCCTCCATCATTTCTATTATGTTGGTAAATGGCACCATTATTCATCCAGTCTTTAAGCCAGAATCCCGAGAATCATCTTCAATGCCTTCCTTACACTCATCCAACACCTCCCATAGAATTTATCATTAAGTCATTTCTATTCCCCTTTACTATCCCCCTTACCTATCTGCTTGTTTCTATCCCCACATTTACTATCTCCATTTATGCTTCATCCAGCTTACTACTCATGCATTAAAGTTTTTCTTCTTACCTTCTTTCTCATCTCAAAACTTCCTTGAATATATCCTCTATTCTGCTGTTTATTTCTAAAAACAACATTGAATTTCCATTTTGCAGCTTAAAACCCTTCAGTGGTTCTTCATTGCTTCTGGTTAAAGTCCAGACCCTTTAGTAAGACACAGACCATACTTTAAAATATGACTCCTACCTCTCTCTCCAGCTTCACCCTGCCACACCTTCACACATATCCTTCTCTCCGTTAATTTAACTATTTGCAATTCCTAGAACAGAGCATGCTTTCTTTCGCCTCTGTGCCTTTGTAAATATTGTCAATATTGTTCCTCTAGCCTGGGAGTCCATGCTCAGCTCAAGGGTCAGTTCTAGAATTTTTCACCTGGCTGCCCAGAGTATGTTTAGATACCATTCCTCTTTTGTTCCCATTGTACCCTGTCATTACTAATTTAGTCATTAGTCTTTTCTATTAGACTATGAGCTCTTTGGGTATAAGCACTTACTATGTTACTTAGCTATGTTACTATGTACTCTCTTGTACAGTTTTTGGCACATAATAGAGGTTCAGTAAGAACTTCGAAGTATGCTTATAACCAGGTGACTTGAGAACTGCTTTGCCTTGCGCTATTCAAAAATTGAAAAGGTATGTTTAGAGAGAACATAAAAAGTGACTGATTATCTAGTCCAGCATTTTATCTCCTACATCAGTAAAATAAAACGAAAACTAACATTATTATATATTATCCATGTGCCAGATGTTTTCTCATCTAATTTTTCACCTCACTACGAGGCAAGTCACTATATCTCTATTTTAGAGATGAAGAAATGGAGAGGTTAAACAACTTAGAACTAGTAAGGAATGAAGCTGGGTTTAAACTCAACTCAGTCTCTGGTTCTAAAGTCCATTTCTTCCCACGCCAACAGAAAGTAGTTCAAGTAGGACCAAAAGACATGTCCATCAAACCTGACTATATTTTTGAGGAATACAAAGATTGTTCAAAGTATGCTTATCAGAGTCTGATTTTAATGGCTAACACTATTCTTTTAAATATAAGGAGAAGGTTGGAAATCCAGAAGATTGAGGCATAAAGAAGATATAAAAGCCCTATGACATAAGACACTCAAAATTTGGAATATAACATCAGTGAAAAATTTTAACTGACAATGTTGTGCCTCTGGCTATGACCATCAGCAAGGACCACTGGATTAGATAAAGCTGCACAAATGCAAATACCAAATTGGCCTGGCAACTTTGAAAGGAAGTTCTCAGGGACATGAATAAATATATGACTGTGTGTAAATCATCCATAGTGACAGACAAATTGAGACTTAATGTGATTCAAAGGTGTTAATTCAGATGTTGCTTGTCTGGACTGATGGGGGATATACAAGAAAAAAGATGTTACAATAGAAAGGCCAGCTGCTTGTATAAAGTACTATAAGGATAGTTTCAAGAATATGAGAAGGAAGAATGTTAGACAAATATTTAATTGAGCAGGAACATTACTTGAAAATTCTCAATTTTACTTAAAAAGTCAATGGTTCCTGCTATGTATGATAATTCAGTATTTTCTTTGTGGGGGAGAACAGGAGATTTGTTTCTTCTCTAAAGACCTTCTCTTGAAAACTATTTGTTCAATCTCAGGATTATCAAATCCCATGTTCTTTGGGAGTTATACATTACCTCTCTCTTGTCTTAGAGAGTCCAGGTATCAGTAAGAACAGGGTATGGGTATTTTGCTGTCATTTCAGTAAATGCAATCCAGAATTTTTATGTTATTGTTTTTTTCAGGTTATTTTTGAAGTAAAGGATTTATATATTTGAAGAGACTATCAAAACAACCACAATTGTGCTTACAAAACTACCTTATCCTGTTAGCATAAAATGAAAATAAATCCTGAAACTCTTTCTAAAATCTTGCTACATAAGCAAGAGCCATATAAGTTTCTTTTCTGGGAGGCCTATGTAGTGATTTCCATCCCTCACATTTGATCACTTGCGCCTGCTTAGTGAACACCAACTTCACCTTTGGGTAACAATATAAAAACAAATCCTTTCTCTGTTAAAAGAAAGACAAGAATCTGCTGTTGACTCATTTTTATCTTTCTAGATATTAAAATCTTGGGCAGGCAGATAAGGACCAAGTGAACAACAGCAGTATAACTGCCAACACTGCCATGTGATTTCAGGGAAGTACTTTCATCTCAGAACATGATTAGATGCTGGAATGAGGAAAAAAAGGCAA